TGGACAACACTGTTCTAGGTCAACATCTTACAGTATTACAAAAGGAGGGGAAAACACTTCCACTCTGTGCAAAAGATGAAGAAAGCACTGTGGCTGCCAGAAGAGCAATTTAATCCAAGTACAATATCCTCTTCTATTTTGGTACTAAGTTACTTGGGTATTTCGGAGCCTAAGCACTTTTTTCCATGAAAATTGGTCATGAGTACCCTTGTTGGAAAGCTAATTTATATTGTTAAATAATCATGCACCCTAACACATTTTAGGGATTCTTGAAAAGCCCTTGGAGAAAAAAGCTGGCCGTAACTATGGTCCAGTGGGAAACAAAAAATTGGTTTATTTTATTGATGACTTGAACATGCCAGAAGTGGATGTTTATGGGACAGTTCAGCCTCACACACTGATTCGGCAACACATAGATTATAGACATTGGTAAGTCATTTTTTAAAATTATCCTCAGCTCAAATATGTGTTCTTTGATCAAAATGCGAGTGCAAGTTTGAAGTAACAGGTTTCAATTAAGCTTTTCCATATTTCTAGGAAATTTTAAATATGGCAATGTTTGGTTTCTAGGGATTTAGTATTATTTATGGCTTTGATTATTTTCTAATGGAAGCTGATGGCCATATCTATTGTGTGAGTCCAACTATCACCTGTGAGGATGTACTCATAGTCATTTTTAGATTAATCATAAATATTTAAAAATATTTTTGTCTCCTTAGGTATGATAGACAGACATTAACTGTGAAAGAAATTAATCATTGTCAGTATGTTGCCTGTATGAATCCAACTGTTGGCAGTTTTACCATCAACCCCCGACTTCAAGTAAGATTACAAGTGTCTCTTGTTTGAAATATATACAGCTGCCTAAAATTTATTTCTGTTTGCAGAAGATCTGGCAGATGATTCTTTGGCTTACATGACAATCCCAGTAATGCAAAGAGGCTCTTTGGCCAGCTGGACATAGCTATCGGTTCTTAATCATGAGCACCCCAAAATGAGGGAAAATGTGTTACGATGCCATTATACAAGCTAAACTCTGTCCTCCCATTCTTGCATCACAACATCAGCCCAAGGATGTAAGGGATGAGGTTGATATCACAACACATGTTTCATTACTTGCTTCCTTTGTCCATCTGCACCAGCGGACACCTATGTTACTGGCTACTTTTGGAGTTTTGAAAATATGTGACAGGCATTCCCACAGTCCTGGGTGGCTTTGCCTAGTCACAGAGTAGCAGCTGAAGTGGATGTGGCCAACTGCAAGTGGTCATTCAGTAGAAGGCGAACTAAAAATGTTTTTCAGAATGATCCCCAAACCTTTTTTTCTTCTTGTTGTTGTCTTTTGACTTTTTTTTTTTTCCTAGGCAAGGGATTGCATTTTCAAACAAAACAGGGATTGTAAAAACCATTATTTTTTCTTCTAAGAGTGCCTTCAGGTCAAGTATGAGATCTGGAGACATAACTGGAAATAAAGATAAATGTGGAGCATGTCAGTTTCCACTCAGGTGCAAACTGGATACTGACAGACAGCAAAGGAAGTTCTGTAGGTGTATTAGTACCCACAGCTACCAACTCATGATCTTTATAACACCTCAGAATTTTGGCTCATTTCTATGGGGACAGAGGTGTTAGTAAACTTGAGGGTTACCTGAGTGGAAGCATGACTGAACAGATAGCCTAAACAAATAGGCTTGCTCTTCTGTTTTCTACCACTTCAAAACTTGAGATCCAGTGTTGTAACCAGGGGTCTACACTGAGCGGGAAGGTTAAAAAGTCAAGATTGCAGCTAACACCATGCAGTTAAAGCATCACCTCTTTCTGAAGTACGGGTTAGGCTATTTGGGCCATGGAAAAAGCTCAGTTCCCTGGCCTAATCCACTGTGTTTTATTATAGCATTTCATGAAGGTGCATTTGATTTCTCCTCTTCAAATAAAACTCTCCAGTAGAACTGTAATAAAACAGGTCTAGTTGCTATTAAGCAGTTGCATGTAGGTTTGGGTTTTTGTAGTGCAAAGCTCTGGAAAATAGTAGTGTACAAGTGGATTACTTTATGTCCTTAGATAATGGACTAGAATAACGCTGTCTTCTTGGATTGGACATCCAAGTCTTGCAATAGGACAGAGGGCCTTTGTGGTCATTTCAGGATTTACATACTTGGGCAGCAATACCTAGATTTCTTTTTTTGCTGTTTACAAGAACAGCATATAAAATCTTTCCCTTAGAAATAGCTCTTTTGTAGATTTGAAAACTAAATTGCATGAGGATTCTTATGCCAAATGTGTCTTATTAACTATTGCCCTTTGCTCACAAGTGTGTTCTCAAGTAGCCATTCATATAACAATATCACAAAATGCTAAACTTAATGTCTTCTTCATATTTTAGAGGCATTTTGCCGTGTTTGCCATGAACTTTCCCTCCCCCGATGCTCTGAGCACGATCTATGGCAAGATTCTTGATTTCCATTTTCAGCGATATAATTTTAATCCATCTGTGTTAAATCACGGGCCTTCCCTGATTCAAGCTGCAATATGGCTTCACCAGACAATGGTTCAGAGTTTTCTCCCAACAGCTATTAAATTCCATTATATTTTCAACCTTCGAGATCTCTCTAACATCTTCCAGGTCTGTAATGAGTGATACTCTAATTTGCATGCAAAAATCAAATTTAGTTAATATAATAACAGTTAAGAAATCAATTTATTGCATTTGAAACAAATGGGATCCTGTTTGAAGACAAAGAGAAATAATAGTTTTAATGGTAGATAAGCTGTGATTGGAGGAATAGGATAACTATATAACCCTTCTGCATTAAAGTCATGCCTGCCATTGCCTTTGTCACTTAGAAAGTGTAAGCAAATGACCTCCCACATCATATAGAGCTTGAGATAGAGATGAATTAGTGTTGTGAAGGTAAAAAAAAGAAAAGTCTGATGTAAAATAAATAAATCATCTATAAGTTCTAATTTAAAACAATGTGCATTGCATTTCTTTAAAAAATTAAGGAAGGAAATCAAGATAACATTGCCCATTGCTGATATTGTTAGAATAAAGAGAACTATACATAGTTCTGCAAGTTACCATGTATTCTTAATTGGACAGAATGAAAATATGTTAAATAATACAAGCCATCCTCAAAGGCTGAACTATTCTTCGTTAGCGTCCCTATTAAATAAAATAGAGTGTCAGAATTTAACTTGGGCCTTGATTCATTTAGGAGTGTCCTAAAAATGTATGTATGGGCGCCCACTCTCAGCCCTGATAGTATTGCATAATTGCAAAGAAGAAAATTGTTGTGAGTATAAATAACAATAAGCAGAAGCAGTTCCAAAACAGTTGGGCAAGCAGATGTTAGAAGGTATGATATACATGCAGTTCTCAGTTTAGAAACAAAGTTGTTGATGCCAGCTTTAGCTACTTTGCATAACTTGCTCTTTGTGTGTTATGACTCTTTTAACATACCCTTTCTGTTTCATTTAAAGGGGATTCTGTTTGCTAAGCTGGAGTGTTTGAAGCATCCAAATGATCTTGTTCATTTGTGGCTTCATGAGTCTTCACGTGTTTATGGAGATAAATTGGTGGAAAAAAAAGATTGCAATTTATTTTATAAAAAGTTGATAGATACCGCACATAAATATTTTGAGGTAAACAACTAATATTTATCTACCACTAATTATTTATTTTAATCTTCAAGGATCCATGAAAAATAAGTGAAACAAATAAACGCAGAGAGAACTATAATGTAACATTCTACTTTCCTTTATAACCTTAAGCACTGAAAAATACATCTGCATTAAAATATTACAAAAGTCATAGTGATTACTGTTTGGTTTGAGAGGGGTTCATATTTATGCTCTTTTCAGAAAGGACATCAGCCAGATAGTGAGAGTTCTGGCATGCTAAAGAGAGTTTAAAAACAAAAGAAAAAAGAAAAAGAAAAAAGTTTATAGCAACATTATTTTTGCTAACTAAAAGAAATCTTAATAATTTGTGAGGATCCAGAGCAGCACGTCTTTCTAACTTTTATGATGTATGGTTGCCTTTAAAATAGTGACATGAAACAGTATATTCTTAGAACCATTATAATGCTAATTCCCTGTTATTCTTCATATCTATAGTAAGAAAAAAAAATAAGAGACAGTTCTTCTGCATAGGATATAGGTTGCTTATCTACACACAATCTTTCAACCTCTTGCTCGGTTAGCTGCCTCTGGTAGTGGTGAAGAGAATTTATAATAGACATCAGCAAGTTAGAGAATTTGGAGTACAAGCAAGCCAAAAAGAGCTTAATTCTTTATTTAAATTCTTTTATATATTTATTTTTAAATAATCTGATTTTTTTCAAAGTATTCCCAGTGATTTGATGATGCTGTTGTCCACATTGGACTTAAGGACTGTGCATTATTTGTTGGTCAAAACTTAGTTTCCCACCTCAATAATTAGGCTTTAAAAGTGAGGGGCGGGGGAAACAGCTTTGAAGAAAATAATGTTCAGGGAAGGCTTAAATTATTGTCCCTAGAAGTTCCTCTCTCCCTTGTAAAACAAAACAGTTGGATCCTAATACTATTCTTCCTGAGCCAAGAGCTTGCACACACTGATCTTTTTTTTAATAACATATGCATCGTTAAAGCTATGATGGCAGAAACCTATAATGCTAACCCCTTTATGCATGTGGATCACTGGTGCTGCCGTGCTAAAGCTGGCATTCTTAGCTGGCATGATCAGTTCATAGACTGAGAATTCAGGAGACGGTTTTGTAAACAGCCACCTGCAGATTGCTTTGCTATTAGTGAAATGAACTGCCTCCTCCTGAATTCACAGGAAAGCTGTTAGAAAGAAACTAAGAAAATCTCTACCATAATATATTGGGAGATAAATTGTTTATAAATGGCCGTTCAGTTGCAGAAATTCTTGTAACCCTGTTCCTTTCATCTGAATAAATCTTGTTAAAGAAGGTTATGTGAGATTGAGAAATACTTTTTGGTTTGAGGCAAGTTTTGACTATGAAACATTTATGGCAAGATAAATTGCAATGCACTTCAGAGTATTGAGTTTCTCTTTTTGATGTTATGTTGCCAACTTGCCAGGATGTGGAAGATCGTGTTCTTCTTCAAAAACCTCTTATTTACTGTCATTTTGCAAATGGTGTGGCAGACCCTAACTATATGCCTGTCAAAGACTGGGAAGTGCTGAGGAAGATATTCTTGGAGGCTCTAGAAAACTACAATGAAGTAAATGCATCTATGAACTTAGTTTTATTTGAGGATGCTATTCAGCATGTGTAAGTATTTGGGGTGCAATTAGAGCTAAGTTGTAACTTAGACCATATGCATTTAGTTTGGATTTATTTATTTACATGTAGAGATACAGGAACAAGGCACAAAAGTTTTCTGTTGCTGAATCCTGCATGGTTATTGGTATAACCAGTGTACAAAAAGTGTATCTGGGGCAACCCAGGAGCATCTGTTTCATGATCTTCAAAGCCCCATAGTGGGTGAGAAAACTTTGGGTCCTTTTTTGTATTGAGGGCATTTTAAACAGCAAAGTGGTTGAATTAAGCTTTACATTTGAGCCTTTAGAAATGTGGCCCTCAACACTCCATGTGGTCTCAAGTCTAATGTCCTTAAGAAAATGACATCTGAAGCTAGAAATATTTCCTTGCTGAGATGTTTGCTTACTATTTTTCATACACACACACACACATACACACACACACACCCCTATCTATCTATCTATCTATCTATCTATCTATCTATCTATCTATCTATTCCCCAATGAGACCAAAATGCACAAATTGGCAAGATGATTGATGGAGCATCTTGAAGCAAGTCTCATTCCTTTTGTACATGTGATAGTCATGCACATGTTAAAAGGGGGTAGAGCTTGCATCACAGTGTTCCATCCACCATTTTGTTAATTTTGACACACATATACACACCTTTATGGATGTCACAGGCTGATGATAACTTACTGAGAAGTCTGTGTTGGATATGGGTTGGTGGTGGTGTTGTTAACTTGATTATACAGTACACTGGGTATTTCTGGGCCAGTCGCTATTTTTCAGGTCAGCCTCCCTTACAGGATTACTGCTATATGGGTAAAATGAGCAGAAACATCTGTATGTGCCTCCTTGAGCTCCCAGAGGAAAAATAGGATATATGTGTAATGGAGTAATAAATCATAATGTGTCAAAAACTTTCATGAAGCTTATCGTGAAAATTTGTTGTTATATCTGAAGTACATCTAATGATTCTGTTTTACACAAGCCAGTTGCAATGTCCCAACATGAGAATTGCAACATTATTCTGCAGCTGCCAATATGTTGTTCTTTTTTCATTGTCAGATGTCGTATTAGCCGAATCTTGGAGTCCTCCCGTGGTTATGCACTTTTGATTGGAGTGGGTGGCAGCGGAAAACAAAGTTTATCAAGACTAGCTGCCTACCTTGGCTCTCTTGAAGTATTTCAAATTACACTGAGAAAAGACTACACAGTGGAGGATCTCAGGGTATACACAACTGTTATTGCTCAATCATCCAGAGAATTGCTGTGTTTGAAAGGATGCTATTTGAAACCTCAAGTTTTGAAGTAAAGTCATTGCATTTTTTATACATAGCTTTTATTCTCTTTTGGCGACACCAAAGGATAGCCTGAATACTGAAAGTAGGAGAATATTTGCTCTTGGATTTGGGAAAACAGGACATATAGAACTTTTAGGTCTAACGTTCCTGTTCTGATAGACCAGTAAGAAGAGGTTGGCGCCAAACAATGCTTGGATTCATGCATTGCACCAAGTCAAAATGTAGTTTTCTTACGTTTTGGCCTAGCATGGCTTAATTTGTTGTGTGGCTTAAGCCATTATGAATAAAAAAACACCAGAACTACCAAGAATGAGCAAATCCACCCAAAATGACATAAAGCCCCTAGAACACAGTTCTGGAAATGTTAGTGATAGAAAATCACTCATGAACTCTGCTGTAGATTGCAATAAGCCAAAATTTTGATTTGCTGATTTTTCTGGCTGCCATAAGATTTCCATTTGACAATCAAATATTTTGGTTTCTATCACACTGCAACTTAATGTTTTCTTTAGCAAACAAGTATATAGCCAACCACAGCCATGTTTTCCTGACTCTGTCTTCTCTGCGGATTACTTTTATTTACTTGAAGATTGATTGACTGATTATGTGCCATCAAGTCAGTGTCGACTCTTAACAACTACCTGGATAGATTTTCTCCATAATGATCTGTCCCTAACTTGGTCTTTCATGTCTCCCAATGGTACGCTCATCACCATTGTAACTGAGTCCATCTACCTTGCTGTTGGTCAGCCTTCTACTTTTCCCAGCATTAGAGCCTTATCCAGAAAGCTAGGTGTTTGCATAATGTGTCCAAAGTATAATAATTTGAGCCTGATCATTTGTGTCTCAAGTGAGAACTCTGGGTTTGTTTGTTTGATTATCCATTTGTTTGTTTTCTTGGCTGTCCACAGTATTCTCAGGAGTCTTCTCCAACATCAGAGCTCAAAAGCAGCAATACTGTTCCTTCTTCAAAGTCCAGCTTTTGCTTCCATGAAGTGTCACAGAGAATGCCATTGCTTGTACTATTCTGACCTTTGTAGATATAGACACATCATGGCATCTTAATATCTTTTACATGGCTGCTCTATTAAGTGCTAAGCTGTGCCATGTTTCTTGACTGCTTATTCCTTTACTGTTGATGGTTGATCCTAAAAGGCAGAAGCTCTCTACCACTTTGGTATCTTCATGTTCAATTCTAACTCTACTTGTTGAATTTACTTGAAGAGAAAACTCTTTTTCTCAGACTCACTGAAAAATACAGTAATGGAGGTAGATTTTTTTTTAATCTAATCTTCCTTTCAGTGGGAGGGAATCATCCTAAATTCAAGGACATGGTCCTTCCAGATAAACAAAGTAAAAGGCAAGAGAACCGATGCTTCTAGACTGTCCTTCCATTGAAAAAGAATGCAGGATAAATGTGCTCTTGTACCTTCCTATCTAACAGAAGTGTTTAAAAATGATTTCAGCTGTCAATTATCTGCAAGAATCTTAAATGTTCTGGAACTGTATCTAAGTTACATACCTCTGTGCATTTGCTAATCATATGGATCTTTCTCATGGAATCAGTATACTATGAGGAGATTTGGTAGGAAAATTTGATGATAAAGACCCTGCAATCAACTTCATATTTATCAGAATAACATAGGCCTTTTCCAAACTTTAGGAGATCTTCTTCTTTGGAACACATCAGACTTAATAAATCATAGACCTATTGAGAGGCCCTGTTGCAGACACCTTTGTTCTGACTCTGAATGATTTCTCAGAATATTTCAACTGTATATTTAAAACTACACAGACATGATTGGTATTGTATTAACACAATGAACAGACACTGTGAGCCAAGTGAAGGAGTTCTAATAAGAAGTTATTAAGCAAAACTTCAGTAAAGTTTTTGAACAGGAAGTTGATTAATTACTTGTTTCCATGTTCATCCAGCAATCATCCAGCAATGAATTCTATATATCTGTTATCTAAAAAACAAATCAATGATAGATTTCAAAAGAATCATCTGGAAAATGATGAGTCACATTAAGGGATGTAAATTATGAGAAGATGTAAAGAAACAGCATTAAATTACTAGCATTTTCCCAGTGATTGTTGCTTCCCTCCTCCTTGTTTCTGTATTTTAACTTAACATGAGTAATTACCTCCTTTCCTTACAGGTAGATCTTGCCAGTTTGTATATCAAGACAGGAGCCAAGAACATTCCCACTGTGTTTTTGCTGACAGATGCTCAAGTTCCAGATGAACGCTTTCTTGTGCTGATTAATGACTTGTTGGCATCAGGTGATTAGACCTACACATTTCTTGAAAGATTCTCTCAATGACAAATTATCTGCTGTTTCAATGAACTTTAAAAAGGGTTATTTGTCTTTGAGATGTTTTCCAATGTGGGTGGGGTGTCCTTTGACAAAATATCTATTAACCCTAGTAAGTTCAATATTGTGCATTGTTTGCTTAAAAACTAACCATGTTGTTTCTTGGGAGCCAATATCAAGGTTATGTAGTGCATAGGTATATGTTTCACTGATTAGTATTTCTTTTCTACTGGTTCACTTTCACTGCTTTAAATGGGTTGATAGGCTCAACATAGCAGCTCTGTTGGAAGCTCTGCTGGGGTGAAAAAAAGCAGTTTATGTGAGTGCTTTAGATTAATAGTGGAATAACAGTGACAGTTTAAATACTAGCTTTTTAATCAGGAAATTAAGCATATAAAACACTATTTGTATTAATTGGCTACACAGAGAAATGAATCCTTGTAGTGATGTTAGCCTTTAGGGACAGTTACAAGAAACCGTGTTTTAGAAAGCATAGAAATGTATTAACCTATATATCTTTGCAAAGCATATTTTATAATTTTCCAAAATAAAGAAGGGAAGCTAAGGAAATTGCATTCATGTTTAGGGCAAGTGAATGATTATTTGAAATAAATAAATATTTATATTTAATAGTTTGCTTTCTATTTATATATGTTTGTATATGTGTATGTGCGTGCATGTGTGTGTGTATATATATCATATATATAATCATAATTTTAAATAAAACTAATAGCACTCATAACTGTAAAGATATCATTATAGTTGAAATAAGAAATTCTTATTAGATTTACAGGAACAATAAGTAAATTTATTTATTCGCATTTTTATTATATGGGTTTCCTACAACTCTCTTTTTCTATTAAAATGAAGGAGAAATTCCAGATCTGTTCAGTGATGAAGATACAGATGGCATTATTGCAGGAATTAGAAATGAAATACGTGAACTTGGTCTTACTGATACTAGAGAAAACTGCTGGAGCTTCTTTTTAGATAGAGTACGACTGCAACTCAAGGTAAGAATTAGTTTATCGAGTGTTACAAAGGAGAGCATATGTTTATTTAGATCTTTTATGAATAAAGAATTTTTTGCTGCTATTTCTGTATCAGAGATAACTCATAAGTATTCCACCATAGGATAAGTCCTTATTTGGTTTTCAAATAATCTAATGGTTCATAAACCCAATATAAAGCAAAATATAAACATCACAATAATCTTTTTCTCCCATTTGGAGTTGGAGTCTGGTTTACTTTGCCTCATATCTTGTGCTATTGTGCATGTATATAAACGAAGTTCTCTATTTTGCTTGAGATAGTACATTTATAATGATTATAAATACTGTCACATATTCTCTTCTAAAACCCCTCCTATTCTTTTCATCTTCTTTGATCTTTTTAATTTCACCTATAGCTCCATTATTTTAAACAGTTTTTTAAAGTATTTTTGAAACATGCTTGCCTTGCTACTGCTTCTCAGGTGTCCTACTGTGCAAAATTAGTATTTCTAGAGGCAGCTATATCAATGCAGACTTTCCACAGGCCACAAGTAAAGACCATGGACTGGAGAAGATATCAGTTAACTTATTCAAAAACATTTGTAAGAAAACATGTAGAAAAGGAAAGGGGAAATAAAAAGGGGAAGGTCTATAGTAACATAGGGAGGTTTTTCAAAGCATTATTGGATAATAATCTCTATTAAAATGTATCTATCTTATTTCAAAGTAAAAATGTTAGGGTTGGAATATATGGACAGCCAAGCATAATTGAAGTGTTTTGTTATTTTAAAATAGCTAGGCAATTATTCTGTTGTGCAGGTTTTTCTAATCTTGCTGAGAAGCCTTGAGGAATGACAGCATAAAAACAAAAATGTACCCAACCAAGAATGGACATATTGCATCAAATAACTTTAATCACATCCAACCATCATTGAATCAGTAATATTGAAGTGTACTATGTCAGAGGGGTTGCTCTGATGACTGAATGCTATAGTTAAGTTTTAGCTTCATGGGTTAACACAAATGGGCCTCATTAACTGACACTGGACTGAGCCAGGAGGCAGCCCACGAATGAGAAGAGTTTGGTGAAATGCACCAAGCCCAGGGTTTGTACAAAACCCAGTACAAGCGAATAAAGCACCATTTTCTGCAGTTAAAATCCTAATTTGACTAAATTCATTAGCTGCTAGGTAAATTGCAATTTTGTTTGTGAGTCTGATGGCAATGGCTCATTGCCACCGCAGTTGACTGCATTATTCTCCTTGATTACCATGTTATGCTTCATTCTCTCTCTCCCTCTCTCTCTCTTTCTTCTCTTCATCTGTACAGATCATTTTGTGTTTCTCTCCTGTCGGTTCCACATTGAGAGTTAGAGCTCGGAAGTTCCCAGCCATAGTTAACTGCACAGCTATTGATTGGTTTCATGAGTGGCCGCAGGAGGCCCTGGAATCTGTCAGCAGGAGGTTCATTGAGGAGATGCCTGGGATTAAGGTACAGAATTTCAAGCTCGTCAATCATATGCAAAAGCAACACAGCGCTCTGGGAGATCAATAATAGGACAAGCTAGGAGAGGAAAAAACTTTTTGTTTCTTCACATACTTGCCTTCATCTAAGGCTGCAGCGTTCACTATGGTTACAATATTCCTGTATTACAATACAGCCAGTTTCTTCAACATGGCTTAGAAAGTGGGAAAGAAGAAAAGAATTGAAAAGGAAGCAAGTGTGCAAGGATCCTAATAGACCTTCATGAGCTTTTACAGTACCATCTGAAATTAAAAAGTCCTACTTGGGGGCTTCAGTTGAAGCATTTATCTAAATTTACGGAAGTTTGGTTGGGGGGTATATGAACATAGAGGAAACAGAACATTGTCACATAATTGGAATTTCTCACTCTCCTAAATTCTAAAACGGTAAAGAAACTGTGTTCAAAACTCAGCTAGCAGGTACATTTCTATCAGTTGTTCTTTAAGTAAGTGCTTGAAATTAGAACATTTTCAGTCTTTTTCCCTTCAAGTCCTTGTAAGATAGTAGTAGAAGTATTTGATATTTGATTTCTCCCTGGATCAAATGGAAGAAGAAAGTACAGGAAAGGTCAAGATTTACACTAAGTTGATTAAACACTGAAGAAAGATTTATATGATCTGACGTCAGTGCTGATGACAGAGTGATACAAGAATAGAAGATTCAGTTGTTGTTACAGAAGAGATTCTTCTACTGTAAAGTCAACAACTGTTAAAAAAAAAAGACAATGATGCCTGCTTTCTTTATGGATATACAAAACAACAGGAAATGAGAATCTTTGTGCTAGAAACATAGTTAATGCTTTAACTTGATAGAGCAATGATGCAACTAGTTGCACACAAGATTTGTCCTGAAGCGAGACAGTAGGGAATGGCTGGCTGGAGTGGTGCTGAATTGTGTGCTACTATCCTGTGCTATAAAAGAGAAATGTATAGCAAGCAAACGCTTTAAAAAGTGACAAACACAACCAATGAAGAGCAGTAGCAAACCTCAAAATGGAAAAGCTGCTTTTTGCTTAGTAAATATAACTCACTACCTTTGCTAAAAATCAGTCTCAATCAACATAACTCCTTCTTTTGAGAAATGCCAGTAGGTCTCAAAACTTTCATTCCATCTAAAAGTGAAAACACAGAAAGATTTAGAAACAATCTAAACAGAGGTGTTGTTTGGCACTTAGGTCTGTTTCTCCTAAAATGCATTTTTTTGGTCCTATACTTCTGCTGCCAGTGCTGAGCAACAAAACAGCTTTTGTAAAATTACAAAGAGTGACCAATGACATCTACTGGCCATAGAGAGACTTGTCTTTATTTTCCTATGCCATGCTATTCAAATAACTTTTCAAAGATTCAGAAATAGTATTGTAGTCATATCATTTCTTCTGGTTCTATTCTGCTCTATTCGGTTCAAATTATATCCATCCAATCTACAATATATCCATAATATTAGTTTTGTAGAAGTATGATTAGAATTATCCATTGTAACTTCTATTTCATAAAATGGATACAAGGAGGATCTAGCAGCTACAGCTAATTAACTGAATGGTGGTTCTGTGTAAAATCATGGAAATTTTTATTTCAAATTATCACACGTATAGAACAAATTTAGCTGAAATATAAACATGGTTTTAAAAATGTACATCTTGATACTTTAACTTTTAAAAGTTGTTAGAGGTGAAAAATGAGGCCATTGCATGAAGTGATAAAACTAAGTTATTTAACATTAAAACAAAGGGCAACGTTTGCATTAAAATTGTAAATGCATATGTAAAATACTGCATCTTGCATTCTTTGTCACTTTACATAACTCCACTAGTGGCAGTTAACCAGAAGAGAAATCTTCAATTGTAGGAAATGTAATAAATTAAAAAATTTGGCTAAGTATGCAGCTAATGCGAAGAAGCTGAATTTCATGGAAACAGTGTAATATCCATAAATCTGCAAAAAAAACCCCACCTTCAGAATATTTCTATTCACAACACCTTTAAATGGTATTACAGAACCAAGAGAATGCAGAAAATGGCAACTGCAATATTTGGCAAGCTCTTTGAGGATTTTTTTTTATTTGTGCAGGATAGGACTTCTAAGTTAAGAAAAAAAGCAATAATGGGACAGAGATAAGAACACTATAAATGCATACCATGGACCAAATGGATAAAGGAGTATTTTCTTCATCCACCATAATACTAAAATCCAGGACCATTCAGTGCATATTGATAGTAGAAGATGATAATAAATAAAGGAGAATAAATAAAGGAGAAATTTATCCACATAGCACATAGTTAAACTACAAATTTGTGCTGCAAGATATTATACATGATAATACTGTCAACTAAAAAGGGGGATTCTACAAATTCACAGAACAGAAGACTATCAAAATGAAGTTTGCAGTGCTTTAGATTTCAGGGGGGAAAGATGCTTTGGAGCAGGTGGGGTTGCTAATACAGTACTTGTCTACAACTTCATAAAGCAGTTGCATCTTTTCCTGGATTTCTGCAGCTTGCCTGCCACGTGATCTTGGGAAAAGAAAACTTCGGTTTAAATAATTGCAGAGAGGTACTGTATATGCACTTCTTTACCTTTGAATCCAAAGCACAACGCAGCCCTACTGTCAACAGCTACTAGTCATGAGAGCTATATATTGCACTCAGCATCAGAAATAATATATCTTCCCCGTGGGGAACATGACTTAAAAGTGCTGTTACAATATTGTGTAGGATATAGGCTATAGTTTAGGTCTAATCCAGCATACTTTATCTATACTGTTTATATCTGTGGCTTTTGAATGTATCGTAATTAATTAGTGGCGCTGGACATACTTTGATGCTCAGCCCTTTTTCTTATTAGTGTTACTTTTCTGCTGGAAGAGAGAGAGAGGTGTGTGTATATGTGTGTTTGTGTGAAAATGATTTTTCAATGAAGGAGAGAATGGTTAATAAGTACAGATGGAGGGCTCAATTAATTTTATAAACAGGGAACTTTACAGACAACTAATTTTAATCAATACCTATTAATCCAAATAATTATGCATTATTTTGTCCCGGCCCTGCATTTCTTTGAATGTGGCTTCTGCTGGATATATACACAACCTATATGTATGTATATGTATGTATGTGTCTGTATATACAGTTTATATGTGTGTGTGTGTGTGTGTACGCACAAACACACATACATGGATTCAGGTCTATTTTGTCAGCAGTGATATAACTTCTTCTAAACTTGTTTTGGGGATAAATGTAGTTAAAAACCATGCTGTCCCTATTCTAATATGATAAACTTTACTAAGGTTCTCTCCTTTTTGTGTGGTTTTACTTGGGGAGGGGGAAGAATATTTTACCTCATTTATGCAGAGATCCATTCATTATGTACAATTATAATTTAATTTAACAATAGCATTATATGAACAATTCATATATAATTTTTTTCTGTTTAGTCAACAAGACCTTTCCTGAGTGCTTAATTTTGTATATGTGTTAACTTTGTACACAAGCTTTGATAATCTGCTGTGACTTTATCACACATACACCATAGATGCTGCTGTGTATTATCTTATTCTTCTCATTCTTAATCTTCTTAAGGTAGTACCAGATGAGAGAATTGCTGACGTCTAAGCTATACCTTCAAGTATCATAGAATTGTAACAGCTTTGTGAAGTGTAGTGACTATTTTGTTACTTCTTGTGTTGGGTACTGTTCATTAAAAATCATATTCAGTAGTATTACTCTTTAGTTATTAAATTATGATGATCCCATTTTCACTGTAGCTGTTGCTATTTTTACATTCCCAAAATGGGGATTACTAATTCTTCAAAGCCTAAATGAAGAAAAAGAGAAGCCATACTTGGCCCAACACTGAATAAGATGAGGCAGCAGTGTCTGTAGTACACATGCTAAAAGCCTTTTTCCTCTTGTTTTTAACATCAAATTAATTTCACCTTTTGAACTTTAGAAATAGGAACTGAACAGAAAATAGCATCAGGATCAAGTGGGTCAAATGGTGGGAGAGGGAAGAAGCAAGATTGCATTGGGTAACCCAAAAGAAAAATGGAATTCATTTCAAGTAAATATCCAAAAGAAAGAGTGGTTTAGTGAACTGTGTATTGTGTGCGAGGATTTTTACTAGCCTAACCGAAAGATGGGATTTAACCACTGCAGGGAAAAAAATAATGTCTCCTCTGTCTAGAGTTTTCTGTCAGCTGAGGGCTTATTGATGTGAACTGGCTTTCTCTCTTAATTTATACAATTTATCTATTGTACACTGATTTTAAATATCTAGGGGAAGCCATTTATTTCCATTTGTTAAGGACAGTTGACCACATATAACGGTCATTAGAGTGCATAAGCTACATTATCCAGTAAACTTGAGACAACAGATTCAAGATCTATAATTACATTCATTAGTAGAACCTTCATTCAACTTCTAATTGGTCCAACCCCATGATTTAAAAGCCATAGTAACTGCATGTATTGAGAGGCTATAAAAACCAAGGAACGCTGGGACATTTAGGTGGATTAAATGGTACATAAAAATAAAAGGTTGCTGCCAACTTTGCATCTTAACCTCTGATCAAACAGGAAAAATGTGCCCATAGGCTTCCCATATGAATTTTTGGGCTTATGACATTTCTGGAAAAAGCTCCACATATGCAGCAGTGATGCATGGATGGAAGTTCTTTCAATGAGAAAGCCAAAAGGGAAGCTTTTGGCCTCAGTCCAAAAACCTTTGCCAGAGCAGCAATTTTCATGCATATTATTGGATGCAATGATTTATGCAAACAGTCCCTCCCTCCCTCCTTTCTTTCTTTCTTTCTTTCTTTCTTTCTTTCTTTCTTTCTTTCTTTCTTTCTTTCTTTCTTTCTTTCTTTCTTTCTTAGTAGGAAGAAAAGTCCTGCTATTGATGTTTCCAAACTAACTAGATGATTTGCTGACATTATTAACAATTTGTTCAGCAATGCTGCTTAGGATGCAGAATTGTATGGCATACATAGCAGTTGATGTTGGACCAATTTTTTTCTAAAAAAAATTAAAAACTAAATATTGCGCTGTTAACATTCATGAGGACATATATGAAGGATCATCTATAACTCTGTTAAGATTTTTTTATTCAAGTTTCATATAAGAGGGATAGACCCATGCAGACTGTCTCCACCCCCTAAAGTTCCTAACTATGTCACATTAAATGTGAAGGATGCTTTTGCTTGTGTTCAGCTTAACACAGATAGAACTCTCCAAATGATCAACTCTTACTCAAATGATCCTATGTAGAATTCCTCCCATTCAAACTGCTGCAGAACATGATATAGTGAGACACTGAAGATGCAAGGTGGGTATGCACAAGATGATTTGGTCAGGTCTTCATGACCTTGACCAGCTTCTTATTTATCATTAAATACTTTGTTTAGGCTAAATACCTGAATATAATATGAGTGGAAACTGATTCCTAAATATTGATTGCCATTGCTGGACATGCCATGTACAGATGTTATAAAAACATGTTTCATTTAAAATATATATATTTCCCATTATACTGCTCATTTAAAAAAAGAATAATAAAAAATACAAGTACTATTGGTTATAAGTTTATCCACTGATATTTCATATTTCTAAATTTAAAGGGGGGAGGGTGTAAAATTTTACTTCTAAAGAAGGTCAAATTAGCCATAATATTATTTGCCTTTTGGTGTGATAGAGCTGATCCTGAAAAAATAAGGTGTAATATTGAACAAAACACCACCAAAACCTTGGAGATAACTGAATAGTGGAATAAATAATTTATGCTAATGAAATTACTGCAATTAGTAGTTCCACAATGACCCTTTTAGAAGACACAGCTGTTAATGTCAGGAAGTGTTGTCACTGCTGACCTTATCATAAGAGAAAGTGACAAATTGAAAATGCAAGGAAGACCAATCATCAAAGAGGTCTGCTCAGAACGATTAGAGTTTTGTGAAAAACAGTGTGAATTACAACCAGCTGCTCTCGGGCTCAGCAGCTCAGCATGTGCCCCATGCTGTGCCATTTTGTTAAGCTTGATAACAATAGTTATTTTGCCCCATTGGAACAAGTTGTCTCAGGCCACTTCCAGCTCTACCGGAACCCACTTCTTTCCTGGCTGATTTACAAATAAAAGTGTTACCAAAAGCTTTTCAAAACTGCTACATAAATGTCTCATAAGGATCATGGCTGGGCAAAAGCCAGTCGTTCTGTAAGAAAGTTCTGCTTGTTAATATGCTTCTGTATAGAGAGAGAGTGTGTGCAAAATAGAAAGTGATGGGAGGAGTAATTTAACTACTTAAGGTCTAGCAGACTTTGCTTGCTGTCATTTTTTTCTAATGTGCATGAAACATTTCCATTCAAAAGTGAGAGTTTAGTCACTTTGCATCCAAGTCATGTAACTCTTATTTCAGTCTCACTGCCATTATTCTAGTTTAAAGGCAGTTCTTGTTAAAGAAGCCATGCTCAAAAATAAGTTTTGTTCCAAAGATAAATTACAAGTTGTCTAAATGAGCTTCTTTGTAATATTAATTATGTTGGCTTGAAACGTTTAGCTGTATCAACAACCGCTCATGAATAATTTTCCAAAAGATCTCTAAGCATTATTGACAATGCTTTGGTAAATTATGTGTGACTTTCCTAAGAGTTGCTGTAGCTCATTTAATTCATATTAATTGATTTTTAAGTTTCCCTTGATTAATTGAACTGCATACATCTTGAACTGAGTGCAATAAATAATCATTAAAATGAGGGAGATGTGATTCCACAAATTAGAAAGTTAACTACGGTAGAAGTCACAGAGGACAAAATGGAAATTGCTTACATGGATACTGCAGCATTTTAATGCATTACTATATAATAAAGTGAATATTTTGGTAACAAATAGGTCATTTTCAAATTATTTAGATATCTTTAAACAAATGTACAAATCATGCTGTCATTGTTTCATATAGATGTATATTATATAAAATATAGTTTTAGATTAAAGCATCAATAGTACTGTTTTTTGACCTTGAAATTGTATTAATATATTTATATATGTCTTTTTCTATATGGGCTATTTTAATGTGTGAAATCTTAGTTGTTTGAATGCACCTGAGAGGCAGATTAACAGCCTAACCCCTAAGCTTATCAGTCCCATGTAAAAGGATCTCTGTTCTGCTGATGGAATTAAGCAGGAGCCTTGGGTCCTGTTCTGCTGACTTCTACTGGGATCCTAGCACATTCTGTCTATTTCCTTCTGTGTAGGCACTCATGCTGTTTTTCTCAGATATAAGCTACATTTGGAAACACTGAGTTTTATTTATTTATTTGATTCAGATTACATCAGTTGTAGGGAGGGGGGATGATACTAAATGGAATCAGAGCAAGCAAATGGAGTGGAAAGTTAACCATTTTCTTCCCTGCTAATGCCTGAAGAACATCTAAAAAATAATGAAATTTTCCCTCTCCATGCATGTTCAGATCCCATTAACATCTCCCCGCCGAGTGTTGCAATTTGCATTTTAAAGCACCTCCATATGTTTAATCCATGTATTTTGGCCCTAGCTCTGACCTCACTAGAATTAATGGGGTTACAACTCCCATCAATTATGCATTGTTTGGGAATTCCAGATGTAGCATGGCTTTTACAGCTGAGATGATGAGAAAGTCTTTTTTAAAAAAAAAAAAGTTTCTGTGGGGTCTTGTGACTAAACAATCATTTGAGGTTGATGCCAATGTCATCTGTTGACCTTTGGTTAGAACATATTATTTGTCAGTGTCAATATGGCCCTCATTGCCTTTCCCAACTAATCTTTAGAGTTTATGTTGGGGGAGGGGGCTTAGAGATATTGTTAAAATAAATAAATAAATAAGATGTGTTGGTATTTGGGTCCTGTAATTCACAGAAGAATGGCTAATAACTATGTTGGCTATATATTATGAAAATTGAATTCTAATATATATATTTAGGAGGTATCAACTTGAGAAGCCTGTCTGATTTCCAAAATGGTGCCTATGAACCAAGGCCTGAATAAAAATATCTGGTACAAAATTCCTTGGTCTTCAATATGAACAGAGAGGGATATCTGTTGTGTCTAGTTGTGCACTCAGTCAACTCAATATTTTTACTTCTAATTTAAACTGTATTTTACATACTTTCCTTTCAGCCACAGTTTTATGACTCCATTTGCCATTTTATGGCATATGCCCACGCTAGTGTGAATGAGATAAGTTCAAAATTTCAACTAAATGAGAAGAGGTACAATTATACAACCCCTAAGAGCTTCCTAGAGCAAATAATGCTCTTCAAGAATCTTCTAGAGAAGAAAATCCAGAAAATTTCCCAACATAAGGAACACCTCATAAATGGTATTCAGAAGCTGAAAACAACTGCTTCTCAGGTAAAACTTATGATAATAAATAGTATTTTTGCTGCCTAATTTGGAGCTTGAGTTTTAGTTTTATAATTATTCAGGAATACCTAAAAGACACAATTATCTTAGACCCTATTGTGTAATTTTGATTAAGAGTCACTTTGAGAAGAGAAAATGTTTGTTTGTCTGTTTGTTTAATGTACAGGCCTCCTGACCCCATCCCAAATCTGGCCAGCATGCAACATAAGATAATTAATAATAGAATAATCCAGAGATCATACAAAGCAAACATCCAGAAAAAGAATGTCCATACAACCAAAACAAACATCCTACAAAGCCTACCAACCACTGTAGCCCAAGACCTGGGGAAAGAGTCAGGTTTTAAGGGCTCATTTAAATAGGGTCAAAGGAGAGGCATAGACATCTTGGGGACAAGGGGGGACAGCATTCCAAAGGGCACAAACTGGGACAGAGAAGGCCTGTTTCTTGGGTCCCATCAAGTGACTTGGTAATCACTGGATCAAAGCATGCCCAGTTCTGCCCAATGATGTAGGAGGAAGCTATGGAAGACAGACAGTCCCTTAAATAATCAGGCCTCATGCTATGAAGGCTTTACAAGTGGTAACCAGCACCTTGAATTGCACCCAGAAGCCTAATGGTAACTGGTGGAGCTCATGATGCATTGTGTTATGTGGGCATATGGTGTCATGCCCATAACTGCCCGTGCCACTACATTCTGGATCAGCTGCAGCTTCTGAGTAATCTTTGAGGCCAGATTTATGTAGAGCACATTGCAATAGCCCAAACATGAAGCGATCAAAGTCCAAGTATGACATTTTAAGACCTATTAGTCTTTAACATGCTGTCAGATATTTCATTAACATGTTTCCCTCCTGGAACTTTAAAAGGAAAGAAAATGGAAATGATGGGCAAATATTATTTCTTACTCTGTTGCCAAAGCAAAACTTAATTCTGGTTACCATAACTGGTGGACTTTGTACTTTTGCTTTTTGAGTTAAAGGAATGAATAATTAAAGAAGATCTCACTCTCCTCTAAAGTCCTGTAGTTCTATTGGGGAGAAGTGTTTCTCTGGAGCCAATGGACCCTGTATTCAGAATGGTAGCCTATCAGGGTTTGTTTGTTTGTTTGTTTGTTTGTTTAGATTTTTTTCCTCACCTTTTTTTTTTTATATTCAACTATCACTTGTTATAAGTGAAGAGGAGGCATCCTTTCTTCTTCCCATTATTGATGCCAGTGGAACAGCAGTAAATTACAGTTAAATGGATGTGATGAAATGGGGACAGAGAATCATCAGTGGGAAGTGGAAAGGAAGATGGAAAGTAAATAACTGTTTAGATGTGATGTGAGTAATTAGTTTGGATTGGCATGGAAACAAGTAGAGATAGTTTGGGTCAAAGAAGCACCTTATACCAAATCAATTTCATCTAAGCCTAGTAACTCACTTTTCAACAGCTAGCTTCTTTAGAGAATCATCTTAGAATCTGAAGATATATCTACCACATTTGCATCTGTGTTTATTTGGGGTCTATTTAATCAACCCAGAGATGGGGAACCTGTGATCTTCTAGATGATGTTAGATTATAGCTTTCACAAATAATCATACATGACTGTTAACCATGCTGGCTAAAGCTGATTAAATTTGGTCCAGTAATGTTTGGAGAATGACAACAGGTATAGCAACCAGCTTTAGAACTGACAATGAAGATATTGAAATTGAGGGTAGCTTCTCCCTTTTAGCATCAAGGAACTAGCAGCCAAGAAATATGCTGCAGACTAGCATATTTGGTACTTGGTAGAGTAGCAATGAAGGCCTTGGAAAAGATATTCAGATGCTGTGATGTGATTATATCTACAAAGATCAAAATCATGCAGGCATTCATTTTGGCTGTGACACTCTATGGGAGTGAAAATTGGACTTTGAAGAACAGTATTGATGCTTTTGAACTTTGATATTGGAAAAGACTCCTGAGAATATCATAGATTGCCAAGAAAATGAACTAATGGATCATTGAACAAATCAACTCAGAGTTCTCACTAGAGGTACAAATGACCAGGCTCAAAGTATCCTACTTTGGACACATTATGTGCATTATGCACACCTAGCTTTCTAGAGAAGGTTGTAATGCTCAGAAAGATGGAAGGAAACAGAAGAAGAGGATCACCAGCAGCAAGGTGGAGGGACACCATTACAGCAGCAATGGGTGCATAGATGGAAAATCTGTAGGACCAGATTGGAGACAGATCTGGAGAAAATCTATGTGGTCACTAAAAATCAACACCAACTTGATGGCATATAATCATTATCAGTGTTTGGAGACTCCTTCTTATATCTGATCTAGAGCCATTCTTGTAATAAATTCAACAGCAACTTGTTTTCAATGAAGATGAATAAGAAATTCATTCTGTTCATAATTTAATGGGAAAACCCCACATCCCTAGCTATATGCAAATTACAATGTTATGTGCACAGTTTTTTTTAAATTTAGTAACAGATATTACCACTAAAAAAAGTGCACGTTAAAGGAAAATTGAGAAAATATGTATATGTATATTAGTAACAACAGCAACAACAACAAAACCCAAAATATGCATTTTAGTAAAAATTGCACATAGAAATATTAAGGAAAATTGCTTACAAAATGAAAATATTAAGGAAAATGTAAGAGACTTTAGTAGTTAGTAATTTAACAAAAAATGGCAGATTTAACCTTCCACAGTATTCCAGGCTTCCACTGCCTCTGAATATAGAATGTTAATAGCATTTATTGTACCTGTTTTCCAAGAGAAACTGATAAAGCAGTTGTTAGAGGGGATATACAGTACTGTGCAAAAGTTGTAGGCTGGTGTGAAAAAATGCTATAAAGTAAGAATGCTTTCAAAAATATATATTGTAATTGTTTAT